AAAAAGAAAGAGTCAAGAAATGAAAAAAAAAGTTGACACAGTTTAGGCAAAATGAATTTGTATATCATGTAAAAAGTGAGCACATAAGAAATAAAAGTGTCAGGCCAGGTCATAGCTGAGCAGCACAGCCAAGGAAGCATTAGGTCCTGAGTTTTTCTGGTAAAAAAAAAAGAAAGAAAAAGAAGAAACCAAGAAAGAAAAAAGAATAAACATATTTACTTGAAGAGAAAATATCCAACAGAACATAAGATCCATAACCTAGTCTAAGGAAATAGACAAAGGATGAGGAATTGTGGAGAGATAAATAAGTTATTAGACTTATGATAAAAACAAAGTTTCATGTGACACACTGCCCAGCTGTGTCCTATACTTTGGGATATTCCAAAGTCTACACACCACTGAGCTTATTCCAATTCCACAAAATACAAGTGCTGTTTCTGAGGAGAAATGGGATTCCTTTCACACCTACAAAGAAGTAAATTTGCAAAAACTTCAATCATCTGGCCACTAGCATGGCGTCTATTTCATCTGTAGCATTGGACACCAGAATATATCCTCTTGTTTACGGTTTGTCTCCCTGCCCACAGTATGCACTCCAAGAAGACAAACTATTTTGTTTTCTGTACTGTCCTCCTAGATGCTGAATGAATGATGCATTTCTGAGTCAAGTGGAGAGTGGGATATATTTCTCCGATAAACTGTCACATTTCCTGCTTTGCAGGTTGCATGGTCCGGGTTGAAAATGCCAAAGTTACCCTCTAAAATGCACTTGAAGAAGCCAGCAGAGGGCAAAGGTGCAGTTAGGGGTCCTTCTTCAGAGGGGGAGTAGTATACAGAGCTAAGCTATTCAGGAGTATTGTAGACAGTCACTCAGAGCTAGGCCTCTTGAAGTTGAAGCAGAAGACAACAGTGTTTGTAGGCGTAGTCACTAAAGGCCAGGCTGTAAGAAAAAGAACTGTTGATCTGTACACCTCCCTAGGGATGAGCAGCAGTGAGTGATGTTCTTTTGTGTGTGTGTGATTGATTTTCTAAGTAGGCATCAGTGACCTTGGACAGAGGACCAAACCTCTCCCCACCCCTTCCAGGGAAGTCCATGTCTGTCCGGCTGTGATGGCTAAATGCCAGGCTTACCCATTCGATCCCAATTTGAACACTACTACCCAGTGTGTGCACTTGTGTGCTTGTTGGTTCACCATGGTTTTGTGTCTCCTCACACCCATCCTGTGACTAGCCATTGGACCATTATTACCTAAGCAACTATACTTTTAATCCTATGGATTGGCCATCTTTTCATCCCTTAAGCCCATCTCCCCTCATGCCTTTGCTCAAACAAACAACCCTGAGAAGCACGATTGTTGGATGACGCACTTTCTGGACACTGTTCAGTCCTTCTTAGACAGAAGCTTATTTTCTCTCAAATAATTTTCTTACTCTTAAAAAACAAAGATTTTTCACTAACAAATGAGTTTCTTGTTCACTAACTTTATGTGTACTTTTTGGTCATAGATCTCGTGTTGTTCTTGAGAGAAATGTGTTTTAAAACAGGAGTGGGGGTCGCTGAGATAGCTCAGTGGACTAAGGGCCTGCTTCAGAAATCACAGTGCAGAGCATCTGCTCCTCAGGACCATACACTGTG